TTTCCCTTTTTTTTCCTCCATGGATCAGCTCCTCAGTTCTGCTTCTGTTTCCTGCAGAGAGATATTTCCATACCTGGTGGTGGTGATTGGCCTGGAGAATGTGTTGGTCCTCACCAAGTCTGTTGTCTCCACACCTGTGGACCTGGAAGTGAAGCTCCGCATCGCCCAGGGTAGGCAGCCTGCTCTGGGAGCCTCCAGAGGGGGAAAAATAGGGAAACCCAAGCACTGGGAAAAGGGGAATGGTCTGAATTCTGGTCTGTGAAGGAAACAAGGGTGAATTGTTCATCTTTTTGTCCTGTTTTATTTTGTTAGTGAATATAATCCTGTCATGTTGGGCACTGCTTTTGGAAATTGTTGACTGAAACATTGGCTAAAAAAGCTTAAAAATTTATTAGTAAGGGAGAGTTGTATCTCCTGGTGTAGGTATTGAGCACCTTGTCCTCATGTCCTGAATGTCCCAAGTGCAGTCCACAGTCATCCTCTGAATCTGTGGCAACATTTTCTTCCTCATTCTGTGATCACTCTGTGCCTGTGTGAGGATTTGAGTATGCTCAAACCATGGATAAATGGAGTCTGCAGACTTCCAAGCTGTTTCTAACCATCACGGAGGAGAAATTCTACAGTGATGCCTAGAAAAGTCTATCTAGTTTTAAAAACAGAAGTGGTTTACAATCCTAGATGGAAAACATTCCTCAAACACACAGTGGGTCTCTACACTTGGAAATTTTACCCTGGAAGTGCCTTTGTTGCCTGTTATCTGTAGATTCCTGGTTTTGAAGAAAGGAAACACAGTTCTTTTTTGCTGTGGTCATGTGTGGCAGCAGTGAACAGGCTCCTTTGACCTGTCCTTGGCTCTTTCTCCAGGCCTGAGCAATGAGAGTTGGTCCATCATGAAGAACATGGCAACGGAGCTTGGGATCATCCTGATTGGGTATTTCACCCTGGTCCCAGCCATCCAGGTGAGTGGGGCTGGGCAGACTGAGCCTGCAGGGAGGCAGTAGAATTACAGAGTCGTGGAATTACTGAGGCTGGAAAAGCCTCAGAGACCACTGAGTCCAACTGTCCCCCAGCACTGCCAAGGCCACCACTAACCATGTCCCCAAGTGCCACATCCACATGGATGTTAAATCCCTCCAGGGATGGTAACTCCACCCCTGCCCTGGGCAGTCTGTGCCAGGGCTGGACAGCCCTTTCCAGGAAGAATATTTCTAATATCCAACCTGAACCTCCCCTGGCACATTTTGGGGCTGTTTCCTCTTGTCCTGTGCCTTGTTCCCTGGGAGCAGAGCCTGACCCCAACCTGGCTGTACCTCCTGTCAGGGAGTTGCAGAGAGCCAGGTTTCCTTGAGCCTCCTCCAGGCTGAGTCCCCCTAGCTCCCTCAGCCCCTCCTGGTGCTCCAGCCCCTTCCCCAGCTCCATTCCCTTCCCTGAACACTCTCCAGCCCCTCAATGTCCTTGTTGTCATGAGAGTCTCTCCCTGCTGATTCCTGCTCCCCTCTCTGGCCAGCTGCCTCAAGAATCTGTTAGCAGGAAGTACAAACACCTTTCCAATGTGGATCCCTCTAGGAGCAGAGGTGGGTGGTGTGTGTCCTTGCTTCAACTTAGGGCTTCACAGGTAGGGGCAGGAGATTGAAGTGGATTATGATCTAAGAGGATTAAAGGTTGGGGTTGGGCCAGGTCATTGTGATGCACCTCAGGTCCAGAGCTGCTCCTCAGTGTCCATGGCAGGAGTTACCCTGGATTTCCCCCATACCACCTGTTGTGGCCTTGTTTATTTAGATTGAAGCTGATGGTAGAGATTTCTCAGCTCAAACACTGACATGATCCATTCTTTGGGTCAAAATTGGGCTCATTCCTATGCTCCATCAGCAGCTTTTGAGCTCTGTGTTGTTGCTGCAGTGATTGACCTCAGAGAGTGCAGCCTGAAGGCGTCTGTGAAGTGACAGTGCCACAATCCTGCGTCACTTTGGTGATGCCCTCAGCTGTCAGGAGCTTGCAGGGTGCCCTGATGGCAGGAGATAAAGAGTGAGATAAAGGGACTGGGCAAAGCATGGAGCAGTGTCACCAGAGCCATGGAAAAGTGACATTGTTGCTCCCACCCCTAGTGTTTATCGCAGTTGGACACACGTGGTGACATCCTCTCTCTGCCACTGAACTCTGCCAACTGTCACTGTTGGAGGCTATGGTGGGAATGATGGGCAGGAGAGCCCTGGGAAAACATCCTGTGAGCTCAGGGAGCTGGGAAAACACCCTGTGCTGGTGTTCCCTACGAGGCTTGGATGGCATGTGGCTACAAAGAACAAAGAATGAGAATCTGAATAAAATACACACTTGGATTCTCACATGAACTTTTCCAGCCCTAAACTCTCAGCTGTTCTGAGATATCAGTAATGGGATTTGTGAGTAGGATGCTCAGGCCTGAGCTCTGAGCAAGAGTTTGCTGAGTTTCCCTTCTTCTGAGGTGAAATCAGAGCTGATCCATGTCTCCTGTCCACAGGAGTTCTGCCTCTTTGCTGTGGTGGGCCTGGTGTCAGACTTCTTCCTGCAGATGTTCTTCTTCACCACTGTGTTGTCCATTGACATCCGCCGAATGGAGGTGAGGAAGGGCCAGGATTGGCTGTGGGTTTCCCTTTTCTGCTGTGGAGGAGGGATTAAAGGGAGCACAGCCAGGGATTTTCACTCTCTAAATAGAATCATGGAGTCGCAGAATCATTAAGCTTGGAAAAGACCTGTAAGATCATAAACTCCAACCATTAACCCAACACCACCACCATGTTCACCACTAACTATGTCCTCAGGTGCCACATCCACATGTTTTTTGAGCACTTCCAGGGATGGTGACTCTACCCCCACCCTGGGCAGCTTGTGCCAGGGCTGGACAGCCCTTTCCATGATACAGTTGTTCCTGATTTCTAATCTAAATTTCCTCTGGCACAACTTGAGGCTTTTCCTTTCACCCTGAGGCCCTGAGCTGTTGAAATTTGGAGGCTGTACTTCTTGGTTACACACACAGGGATTGGGACAAGACAGTTGAGGGAATGAGATACCTTCAGGAAGGACCTGTTGGAGTGAGTCCAGAGGAGGCTACCAAGATGATTAGAGGGATGGAGCACTTCTGCTATGAGGAAAGGCTGAGAGAACTGGAATTGTTCAGCATGGAAAAGAGAAGGCTCAGGGGTGATTTTATTGTGGCCTCTTCCAGTGCCTGAAGGGGCTCCAAGAAAGATGGAGAGGGACTTTGGACAAGGGCCTGGTGGAACAGGACAAAGGGGAATGGTTTCCCACTGCCAGAGGGCAGGATAGATGGGATATTGGGAAGGAGTTCTTGGCTGTGAGGCTGGTGAGGCACTGACAGATTGTCCAGATCAGCTGTGGCTGCTCCATCCCTGGAAGTTTTCAAGGCCTCAGCACCTCATCACAGGTTTCCTGAGCACCTCACCACAGGTTCCCCAGGGATGTCACCACATTTCTCTCAAGAATCTTAGCAGAGATTCCCCCAGGACCTCATCACAGGTTCCCTGAAGGATCTCATCACAGGTTTCTTAAGCACTCATCACATAGGTTCTCCCAAGGATCTCATCACAGATTCCCTGAGCACCTCAGCACAGCTTCCCTCAACACCTCACTGTAGGTTTCCTCAACACCTCATCATACGTTACCTCAGCACCTCATCATGAGTTCCCTCAAGGTTCCACTACAGGTATCCTCAGCACCTCACCACAGGTTCCCTGAGCCCCTGACCTGAGCCTGACCCGTGTGCTGTCTGTTGCAGCTGGCTGACCTGAACAAGCGCCTGCCGGCGGAGGCTTGCCTGCCCCCGGCGAAGGCGCCGTGCCGCGC